CCCTAGCATTGCTCATATTCATAAATCCCTAGCTCTACTGTACGACGCCGTTTTCGGCAGGGACCTCCTCGCCGGCTCTCTTTTTCCCATTTTTTCCCCGGCGAGAAAGAGCGAGCGTAAAGATATAAAACGCTGCGTTGAAACCCTCGTCGATTTTCTTCCTCTTCTCCACTCCTCTATCCCCGTCCTCCCTGCCGCTAAACCCCCATACAGAATTCGCAGAGCTCCCCTGACAATCTAAATTCCTCTTCTCCGGTCGGCGACGCCCTCGATAATTCCGGCTTAATTCCTCGATTTTTTCGTTATTTTTCTTTTATTATTGCGCAACCCTTTGCCATCCTCATTTTCACTTCGATTCCGCAAACTCTCAACGCACACCGAACCTCCAAAACCTGTTGTTTCTTCAAGGTATTGATAAGTTGAGGCTATATTTTAATTTGTTTGTTCAATCTAATTCCGATTTTAGTTTCAAATTTCGAGTATATGCTTCTTTTTTGAGGAGCTTATGGTGTATGTATTGATTGGGTGACGAATTGGGGTTTTAAGATCCTTTTTAGTGTAATTTGTTGTTTCTTGTGATCTTAGAGGGTAAGGAGGAATTGAATTTAGAGTTTTTCTGTTGTTCTAGATCACGGAAATCTCATGTAAATTGTTGTTAATCTTAACCTTTTACCTTTCTTGTTCTCTTAGCTTGCTTATGTTAACTGTTAAGAATTTTTTTTTTCTCGGAAGTTTATTATTCCAAACCCCCACCACCCTCTTTGTCTTGGCTATAAATTTATGTCTCTACTACTTGGCTCAGGGAAAAGTAGGCCAGTGGACATGCGCTTATCATCTCAAAGTTGCACCTCCACCAATACCACCTCAACCCTCACAAGGGGCCAGCGTCAAAGAGTTCTTCCAATTCCTCGCGGTGTCAATATGGTAGTCTGGAGTCTAGATAATCGATTTGTCCTTTCTGCTATAAGGGGTACTTGTTTTCCTTTTTTTAGAGTGACTTGTTTAGTTTTCTCTTTAAAAACATAAGATGTGGAAACAATAAATTCCCCTACGTCCCACTCACCAACCTACCATCAAAAAATAAAAAGATTAAAAAAAAAAAGAATTGAACAGAAAAATCCACTGAAACAATAATTTATGATTCCATTTGCTTTAATTAACGAAGACCTATACCTTATGGCAGATGTTGCTCAACTCTTGCCTTTGCATGCATTTCATGTGTTGGTTTTTATGTCTCTGCTAAGACCTTTATCTTTGTGTATATTTTGTTTCTTGGCTTTTCTGCAATGGCAAAGTGGCAATCTGATCAAAAGAAATGGTTTTCTAATGCTCACCACTGTAATTAGTAGCATTTTTTTTTTTTTTTTACTTATTTGCAGTAAGAGGTAGCAGTGTTTGGGTGCTTAATCCTAGATGTTGGCTTCTTAACATATTTGCCATTATGCTGGTGCCATTGTGCTTTTTAATTAGATTTCGAGGTGCATAAATTTGGCCAAATAATATATTACCACAATGCAGATTGCAGAATGTGTATCGAATGCTACTGATGGTAGCTTAGTTCAATCTTTGACTGGTCATACTGAATCTGTAAGTCATTTTTATTTCTGATTTGTGAATCTTTTCTTGAATCTTGTTATTTTCGGCTTGCATTTAGGAAGACTGGGATTCATCTATCATATAACCATATGCCTTGGCTGATAAAAAAATTACCACATGCCTAATTACAGTGGATGCTGATCATTAATCACTGTCGTGATTGACGGTTTAGTATTATATGGAGCTTTGGTTTGGACTGAAATTCTTTGTCATATTTTTGCTTCTCTCTTTAGCCAAGAGATTACAGTTAGTTCCAAGTCTGTTGCTGCATTTGTTTATAGTCTAAGTCTATCTAGTAGAGAAATAAATGAGATTAATATATGTCAATACCAGTTCTAATCTTTCAGTAGTGATTGCATTCATACATTCAATTCAAGCAAGTTATTGTTTTCAAGATATTTATATTGATTGCCCTTCACTCAACTTCATCGAATTCGTGGAATTTATGATTTCAGAATTTAGGTTTCCAGTAATTATTAAATTCTGCACCCAAGCAACAAGCCCATTTTGTATCTAATATATATTTTTTGAAGTCTCCAGCACCTTTACCATTATGGTTTGTTGCTTTTATCAGAATCTGTTTACTAGCTTTTGTTTTGCTTTTGTTGCTATGCAGCCAGTTTTTTGGTTGCTTATGTTACTTTTTTCTGAAAGAGTTTTTGTTTGTAAGCAGTATCTAAAAGTATTAATATATTAACTGATTTTAATTTATTAATTAATATATATCAAGTATTTTATAAATTATTAGTTAATGTTCATAGTTACTTGTAAAATTTTATTAATCAATTAAATTAAATAAAATTAAGTTTAAAGATAATATTTAACAATTTTAATAGCACATGGATTGAGTTTTTATGTGATAGAAAGAAGAGTGGTATTGGAACCAGACTAAAAATGGTTGAGGGATTCAGAGGGAAACGAAATGATAAATGGAAATTAGAGTAGAATCGTAAAGCAGGCTGTTTCTTGTCCTCATGAACTGACGGCCCAATTCAACAAAATGGACCCAATGTTTCTACAGAATACATGGAGTAATCGGATCCAATTGGAAGTCCATACAAACAAAGGCATCATTCAATCTAATAGTATCAGAGCTGGGAAACACAATGCCCCATAGAATATCCTCTCTGGATCCTCTCTTCTTTTTTCTTTTTCTTTTTTTCCTTTTTTCTTTTTTTTTTTTTAAGAAAGGGAAAAGTGGAATATTTTTTCTGATTTTTTTTCTTTGACAAAGAGAAATGTGGAGGATGGGAAAGAATAAAGAAAAATAAAAAAATTTTAAGCGAAACAAATTCAAATTGATTTTAATTTGGTGATCACTAGCACCGAATTCTCTTGGTTAATTAAAGCCTACTTAAAAAACAAATCCAAAATGATTTCAATCGAGTGATCTTTTTTTCTCCACCAAATCATAGATGAAATATTGGAAATTGAATTGTTCATATTTAGCCATGAGTTTTATCTCTGATATATTAAGATAAGATATAAAACATGCATCCACAATTACAATATGGAAACTCGGAATTTTTTTAGGGCCCGACAAGGCAGCAGCCGTTTGAAACAGAGCAGCAAATTCATTGCTATATATAATTCTTGCCACTGAACAGAGAAATATTGGTACCAAGGACAAATCCAATTCCAAATATAAATTAATACATCAATCTCAGCAGCCTTTTTGTTAGTTGTAGTTCCCTAGGTTACTCCCGGCATTTCCTACTAAGAGCAATTTTAGGAACACTCGCCATTTGCACTCTCAACCAACACTTCCATTTTAATTGGCCACGTTATGTTGGTTTGGGAGAGGTAATCATTTCATAGCGCAAGCAAGCTTACATGGCCCAATAAAAAAGCTTGCGTTGCCTGGAGAGTGCAGGAGGCGAGTGCCCCTGGCACTGCTCCTCCTACTAATTCCACTCTACATCCAACCCATGCTCATCCAACATCACAACCTATAAACACAAGATCCCAAAACAAGGATAAATCCCGACAAGAACTGTATCTCCAAACTTCCATAAACCAATTCAATAATGATACTAATAAAAAACAAAGGAAAAGGAAAACTATGGAGGGTTTTCCGGACGAGTACCTATTTAGAAAAGAAAAAGAGGAGATTTTATGAAAATAATACTCTTACTTATTTATTAATTTGTGAGAAAACTTTACAATTTATAGATATACAAATTGAAGAAATAAAGAAATATTATTCAAATTACAAAGTGGAAAGGGAAAGTATGAGAGAAATAAGGTATGAATACAGGGAATTAATCAATCTTTGTGTTTGAACACTTCCTCCATGAATCAATTTGCACAATTTGGCCATTTGTTAATCTTTTGCTAATCTTCTGTTAATCTCCTCCTTCAATGTAGTCCAGTTGTTGCGCAATTTTTGCCATCTGCTAATCTTTTCCTTTGATGCAATCCAGCTATCCTCTTGCTAAAGAAATAGATGTTCTTCTACTTTGCATCAGCTGTCTTTTTGTTTTAATACTCCCCTTCAAACTGGGTGAGGGAGATGGTAAGAGACCAAGTTTGCTGCATAAGGATTGGAACCAATGCTTGGATAAAGGCTTTGTGAAGATGTCAGCAACTTGTCGGTCTAAAGAGATGAATCTTGTAATAAGTAATCCCAAAGCAACTCGTTCACGAACATAATGGTAATCTATTTCAATGTGCTTGGTGCAAGCATGAAAGATAGGGTTGATAGACATATGAAGAGCACTCATGTTGTCACAGAATAGAGTGATAGGCTGGGGAAGATGAAGGCCAATGTCACGAAGGATATAAGATATCCAAGTGAGCTCAGTAGTTGTAAAGGCCATTGCACGGTATTCTGCTTCTGCACTTGATCAAGCTACTGTCTGTACTTGATCAAGCTACTGTCTGTTGCTTCTTTGCACTCTAGGAGATGCAATTACTATCAAGAAAGGTGCAAAAACCTGTTGTAGATCTCCTAGTAGATGGACAACTAGCCCAATTTGCATCTGAAAACCCATATAAATCAAGATTAGATTGTGAGCAAATTCGAATACCATAGTCTAACGTACCTTTTATATAGCGTAACACTCGTTTTACAAGTTGAAAGTGATAAACAGAAGGTTGATGCATGAATTGACAAATATAATTTACACTATAAGTGATGTCCAAACGAGTAAAGGTTAGATATTGGAGAGCTCTTACAATACTCCGAAACAAAGTAATATCATGGAAAGGTTGATTATTCTCTGGGGTTTTCACTTTTGGAGCCATTGGGGTTCGAATTGGTTTGCAATCCCCCATTTCAGCACGCTCTAAGACTTTTTGAGCATATCTTGTTTGACAAAGAAAGAGTCCATGAGTATCATTTTGTACTTCTACTCCCAAAAAATAATGCAGTGGTCCCATGTCTTTCATAGCAAATTCTAAGCTCAATTGCGGAATAAACTCATTCAAAAAATGTGAGTTATCACCTGTTAAGATTATATCATCAACATATAAGAAAAGAACGATAGTACCTTGAGCGTTATGACAAACAAAAAGTGAAGGATCAGCAATATTGCAAAAGAATCCAAATGTTAGCAAAAATTCACTAAATCTATTAAACCATGCTCTTGGTGCCTGTTTTAATCCATATAAGGCACGCTTCAAATGACAAATATAGTTAGGATTTTTGGGATCACTAAAACCTGGGGGTTGGGCCATATACACAGGTTTTTGAAGTTTACCATGTAAGAATGCATTCTTTACATTTAATTGTCTAATATCCCATCCTTTAACCTTAGCAATAGATAAAACAATTCTAACAATTGCGGGTTTAATAACAGGAGAAAACGTTTCAGAGAAATCAACACCTTTAACTTGATTATACCCTTTTGCAACAAAACGTGCCTTCAGCCGTTCAAGAGTTCCATCTGCCTTCAATTTTGTTTTGAACACCCACTTTGATCCTATGACATGCATCTTTGGATCATATGGGACAAGGTCCCATGTGTCATTAGAATTGAGTGCTTCTAGTTCCTCTTTGTGACATTCCCTTTACGAAAAATCCGCTTTCAAAACAATTTAAAGTTTTATAGAAGGAAACCATTCATATATAAGGAAAAACTATATAAATGAAAAATGTCTTAAGAAAAATATTGAAATACTCAAAATCATAAAATAAGCCAGGCTATGCCCATTTTAATTAAGTTTAATGTCATATACATAAAAGTAACTTATACAAAAAAAATACATGAAAGCAATTGCTTTTCAAAATACTTTCTAAAATAATAAAAGCAAAATTACCATTTTGGTAATACATTAATCCACCTTCACATTGAAAACACTGAGGTCGACATACGAGATTTATACCGAGAGCTCTCAAGCTGAGTGGCCGCTACTCCAGTCTACTAATCTGAAATGAGGGGAGGGGGGGAATTTTATGAGCTAAAAGCCCAGTAAGTAGGAAGTTGAAGCTATAAACTTGGGTCCAAAAACCCCTAAACCTATACACACAAAGAGCATGGAATATAACGGAACCAAAACACATAATATTATAATTCCCAGTATTCAAATGATACTTAATATCTCAAATCATAATTACACATGTTAAGAAATAATCAATAACATTTCAATCAATTTCATATAATAAAATTATATGCTTACAAATACGATGTCACAAGCATAATGCATAAAACCAAAAATCACACAATGATATGGAGTCCACTGATGTGTGCTAGCAACACTGTACTGAAGCTAATCACAGTACTAACCCTACTGCGCATAGGTCCACTTACTCCAAAGCCATAAACACATACAAATGTCAAATAAATTCAGAATATGTCCACAATATGTCCATAATAATATAAGATATTATCCCATTCAATGTTTCCATTAATCAATGGTATTGAAAATTCAAGTTCATACTAATATCCACATACATAGTTCACATATTTCATAAAACTTCCTATTAAAGTAATTAAGGTATGGTGCATGAACGGTAATACGTGAACAGTATGCATAAACAGTACGCATGAACAGTGATCCGTGAAATAGTATGCGTGAACAGTAACTGAATTACTTCCAGGAGGTCCAATTAATTGAGCAACCTTCATTTTGTCATGCGAAGCATACAAAGGAGCAACAACATATTATTTGACCATCAAATTCACACTAAATTCAAACATAAAAAGAATAAAACTTATTAGGAAGTCCATCCTGTAAGCCCCAAAAATTACAGATATTTTTAATGAAATTTTAATGTCCAAAAATCTTATAAATTAAAGGATTTGGGTCAAATCTCACCAATTTAAACTCATTGTTAACATATTCTAACAAATCCATAAACTACCCAAAACTCTAACCCAAATTCATAACCAAAACTTATACTTACTCAGAAATCAAAGCACCAAGTTGAAGAGAACTGCAGAAATTGAAGGGATTTCAATTTGAGAGTGTGTCCTACACATTAATCTTGGCTGGAAAAAGAAGGGAGAAAGAGGCAGGGGACCAACTGGAAAAAAAAAGATGTAGAGAAAATGGGTTTCAAGAGGATAAGTTCAAAAATAAAAGGATTTGGCTTTTTCGAAAATCTTCTAGAGAACCTCTAGTGACTTAATGCCAAATTGCCACATGTCTCAAAGTTTGGGTAAAATAGTTTGATAGTCTCTAACTATCTCAAAATTTCACATAAGGTCCACATATTTTAATTCTAATCAATTTAGTCCCTAAAATGTTAAAATAAAGGACTCAAATTTTTAATTTATTCACTAAAGTACATGAGGTGTTACACTCTTGCATGGCATTAACCATCCTGGATGCTTAAGAGCAGATTTTACAGTTTTTTGCTCATTTGGAATATCCTACACTTGAGTCACATAGGAATATTTGGGGTTTGGTTTTACAATACCTAACTTATCTCGAGTGGCCATACTATGTGTATTGAAAGTTATTGCATTTGAGGTCTCATGAGTGGGAGTTGTACTTGGAATAAAGATTGACTCTTGGGCACTATTGACGACCGAGTCTTGTTGTGGTACCTCATGATTTGGTGCTGGTTCTTGAGGAAGCTCACTGTTAATAGGCAAGTCTTGTTGTGCCAACTCATTATTGATGGCCATGTCTTGTTGATGATTGTCTTGTTGATAAAAAAAACTCATCATTTTGTACCACATCATCAAGGACCTGCACATCAAGGCAATTTAGCTCATTAGATACTATGCCAAGCAGTGAAGTGTGAAAAGGTTCATTAGCAACAGGTTCATAATTTGCTTGATTTTGAATGTGTGTAACCCTCAAATTTGGAGAGGTATCTTGTTGCAACGATGGATTTTTCCATTCAAGGAAGGTTGAGTACTCGCTGTTATCATATGGTTGCCGCAACTTCTTTGGATCTGTGTATGGAAAAATCTTCTCATCAAAAACAACATGTCTAGAAGCATACACTCTTCCAGATGATGGATGTAAACAGCAGTAACCCTTATGTCTATTGCTATAACCGATAAATATGCATGGTTATGACTTGGGATCAAACTTGTTGTTAGCATAATCTCGTACGTAAGGGAAACACCTACAATCAAATACACGAAAAGAAGTATAGTCAGGATAACGATTATATAATCTATAATATGAAGAATCCATACCAAGGACATTGGAAAAGGTCATGTTCATGAGAAAAACAGCAGTAGAAAAGATGTCCACCTAATAGCACTTGGGTAGACCACTATTGTATAGCATGGTTAAACCCATTTCACAAATAACTCTGTGTCTTCTTTCCACCTTGCCATTTTGTTCTGGGGTGCCAGGATATGATTGCTGCAAAATAATACCATTAGATTGAAGATGGTAAATGAATTCTTTCTTTTCAAATTCACCACCTCCATTTGCTTGAAAGACTTTGATTTTCTTCTCAAATTGCCTGTCAATGAGTTTTTCAAACTTCAAGTAACAGTCAAAGAAATCAGATTTAGTTCTTAAAGGAAATAGCCAAGTAAATCAAGTAAAATCATCCACAAAACTAACATAATAGCGAAATTTTTGAAAAGATAAAACTGGTGCTGGTCCCCACAAATCACAATGTATTTTCTCAAATGGATGAGTACAAGTAGAGTTTGAAGCATAAAAGGGAAGTTTCTTAGACTTCCCAATTTGACAACTTTCACAAATATGGTCTGTACTTCCACACTTGTTTACTTGAATTAACCCTTTATTTTCTAAGTGTTTTATTACTTTAGAATGTGGATGGCCTAATCTCTAGTGCCAAACACTTTCACTAGTAGACTTGAAGCGATTTGAGAAAAAGGCCATTTGTGGAGCTTCTAGAGCATATAGATTAGCCTTGCGATTTCCCTTGGCTATCACTTGTTCCGTTTTCCTGTCCTTTATGACAAAACTGGAAGAAGAAAATTCAATATTGAGAGGATAATCATTAGTAAGCTTACTAATAGAAATAAGGTTTTTTTTTCATTTGTGGTGCAAGAAGAACATTCTTTAAAATAATCTTAGTGTCTCCACAATTTAGTTTAGAATCACCGCTGTGTGTGATGGGTAAAGTTGCACCATTACCAACCATAACATAATCTGATCCACTATAAAAATTTAAATTATAAAGCTTACCAAGATCTCCAGTCATGTGTGAAGTAGCACCAGTGTCAGCATACCATGTCTCATCATTGGTATCATTCAAGGTTATTGCTGAGAGTGCCATGGGTAGATCATCAAGTTGGTAGAGATGATTAAACCACACCCAGCAACGAAGTGCATCATGTCCTCGCTTTTTGCAGATTACCGGAGGTGGATTTTCACCCTTTTGCTAACTCTTGTTAATGTGTTGGGATCCTTGAGCAGAAGCAGAGATTTCACCATTGTATGGACGAGAACCAATACTGTGATTTCGGCTATTCTTGGTTGTTTGTGTTGCTTGGATAAACCCGCGTCCTCTTGAAGAAAAGCCTTGATTCCCAATTTCGAGTGATTTTCCTCTCCTATTACTTCCACCTTTTTTACTAAAGAAAGCTATATTGTTGTTAGCAGAAATATTAAATCTACTAGTATGAGTTTCATAACTCTACAGCAGAGGAACAATATCAGCATATGAAGGTGTTGGAGGCTTAAGCATTGAAGTGGTAAAGGGCTCGTATTGAGGTCCAAGTCCATTTAGTAGCCAGAAAACCTTGTTTTTTTTTTTCATTCATGGGCTTGCTAATTGTTGCAATACCATCACAGCATGACTTGAATTTCAAAATATATTCATTCAAGGAGGAGAAGTTTGATCTACTTATCACTTGAATTGTTTGGTTCAATTCAAACTCACGTTCAGTGGAACTTTGAGCATAGGCATTAACTAATGCATTCCATACCTCTTGTGAAGTTTCAAGGCCTACCACAAGACTGAGTACTTGCTCTGTGAGTGTTCTTGTGATCCATCCACGGAGCAAGCTATCCGACCTCTTCCAGTATATGTATTCTAGGTTGGGAACCTCCTTCTTGCCTTGGACATTGTCATCCTCAAGGGCGGAGATGACCTTGGTCGGTGGAGTCCAACTTCCATCAACAAATCAAGTCAAGTTTTGGCTCTCAATTAAGCCCATAATCTGCACTTGCCAGAGGAGAAAATTGGTTGGAGTTAGACGAATGAAAACAAAATTACCCACATTTAGGCTGGATGGGTAAAGATACTTGGTTTCAACATAGTTTTTCTGGGTTGAGGTTTGGCCTGCCATTTGTTTGATAGAATGACAAAGAGAAACAAGAGGCTTTTCTTATGAGGAAAGCTCTGATACCAATTAGAAAAGATAAAGAGGAGATTTTATAAAAATAATACTCTTACTTATTTATTAATTTGTGAGAAAACTTTACAATCTATAGATATTCAAATTGAAGAAATAAGGAAATATTATACAAATTACAAAGTGGAAAGGGAAAGTATGAGAGAAATAAGACATGAATACAGGGGATTAATCAATCTTTGTTTTTGAACGCATCCTCCATGAATCAATTTGCACAATTTTGCAGTTTGTTAATCTTTTGCTAATCTTCTGTTAATCTCATCCTTCAATGCAATCCAGCTGTTGCGCAATTTTTGCCATCTGCTGATCTTTTCCTTTGATGCAATCCAGCTGTCCTCTTGCTAAGGCAACAGATGTTCCTCTACTTTGCACCAGCTGTCCTTTTGTTTTAATAGTACCTAGTCATCAGACCTGATATGGTTCATGACAGCCATATCTTCATCATCGACCCGGGCCCTCACATCCCTACATTAACAAAACCATCATAAAATCGTCTAAATTACGTTGGAAACTATAAAAACAGATTAGGGGCATAAAATTACAGAAAAGGGGAATGGAAGCACCGTGCATTTTTGGGGTTAGACCGAATTAAAACATCATCAACAGGACAGTAGTTTCTGAGCTTATCGATAAACCCATCTACCAGCAACTGGACACCTGGGGACCTCTTCTTCCCCACCGTTATGATCCGAATTGGCAATGCTCTCTACCCAAATAAAGAAAAGCTGATTATTTTTGTCAAAAATTCAAAACCCAAATAAGAATTCAGCTAAGAAACATGGAAGGATGCATGGACAGATGGGTTACCACATATTGACCAACGAATTTGCATTGTTTACCTGAAAATTTCAATCAAAATAAGGTTAAGGAAATGTTGTAGAAAATGAAGTAGGATTGATTGTTTAAATTTTAGCAAAAGGAGCTTGGAGGAATACTTGAGTTGGTCCAGTGAGGAGTTGCACAAGCGGAGATGGAGATTGCCATGAGAGATGGATGAGTTCTGTTTGCCAGATGGATGATCTCGTTTCGTGATCGAAAACGACACCGTATACTTCGTTGAAGGGAAATGAAATCTTCTCAAGAGCAGAGTTTTTTAATTTTTAATTTTTATTTTATCTTAAGAAATATGTATTCGTTTTTCAATTTTTCTTATTTTTATGTTTTTCAAGTTATTTTTATGTTTTAATCCACAATTAAAACAATTAATAGTTATTATTCCACTCATTACTCCCTTGAGACATGACTTTTGTCAAGTTAGGGCCCTTGCTAATGTTACTTGAAAGAGCATCCGTGGAAGACTTTTCATTGCAATTCCAAAGAGGAAACAATAAAAAAGAACATATTTAAAAATGGCACCTATAATATACCTATATTCTTTAGTGAATTTGTTTGGATAAATGATTTATTATAAAATAACAGCTTGAAATGAAGCGCATTTCATTGTAATAGAATCATGTTCATGTCTTGCCTGCTATGGATTAGGTGGAGTTCAATAAGGTACTAGTATCATCGGATCCTCTCCTCCTTCCCAACAGCACTCTCTCACCCTTCCCAACAGCACTCTCTCACATGTTTATGGGTTTTTCACTTTTCTAATGGATCTCAATTAGATTCGACTCATGCCCATCTTTAGAGAAAATCCATAACCAACAGTAATCTCTTCCTTTTGAGTCTCAGTTGACACTCTTACATTCTTTTCTTCTCTTTCTTAACCTCTTTCAAACTAACGACAAATCTTCGTCCCTCTCCACATTCTTATGGAGCATCTCGTCATAACTTTAATATCACTTTAATCAGGTGCACATACCTCATCTAGCTTTCCTTGTCCCGCTCTCTTCCCCTCTCTCGAGCCTACGAACTTTGTCATTACCCTTGTTCTTCTGGTGCAAAGTTAATGCAAGATTGCCATGATCACAAAAATCCTTATCTTTCCCTTTAGGTGCTCAAATCTCAAAATCCAACTCAAACTTTCCTCTTCCACCATCGACAACCGTAGATCATATTTTTGAAAAAAGAAAAAAAATGTAAATAAAGACATTGATTTTATATTTTTTATTTCAAAGTGCTAATTTTATTTATTTTAAAATAAAAATATAAAAAATTTATATTATTAAATAAAAAATAAAAAATTAATATTCTTGTTTATATTTTTTTTGAAATTCGAAGAATGAATCAAAAACAAATAAGAAAATAATCATTGGAAACACTGAAAAGCAAAAAGACCCAAAAGCCATGTGAGAAAGGGAGACACAATGCTCCAAGAGAGGAAGGGAGAAGCAAAGCACGAGGGTAAAATAGAGAAAATGATCTCTGAACAATGGACAAATTATTAGGTAGCAAAATGACCAAAAAGCCATTCCTAACAGGTGAAAGGAGGGAGAAACGTTGAAGGGCAAAATTGAAAGAAAAAAATATTGTGAGGGAGGAAAGGGGGTCACCGCAGCATTTGTCAAGGGAGAAGTTTCCTCCCATTAACTATTTTGATATCATTTTCGTCTACTTAATTCAATTGTTTCATTCCCAATTTTCCACAGGCACAAAACAACCAAATAAATAACTATTGCCTATTTTCAAAAATAATAATAATACTAATAAAGCAAATAAATAAATCAGATTATTAATTAAAAATAGAAAATATGAAAATAATTAATTTTCTATTTAAAAAATTGAATATTATCCTTAACGAAAAAATTGAACGGAGAATTGCCCAGAAATTAGGACAAGAACTGAAGAACTCCAAAGACAACGATGGCGAGGTGGGCTGCCGGGCAACAGCGAGCTTTTCGATGTTGACGGTTCTCCTGAGACTCACGACAGCAACCACGGCAGCGCCGATGATCATAGCGATTCCAAATCTCGGGTACGCATGCTGGTCGATGAGTTTATTTGAGCATCTCTTTCGTTCTAATTTCTTTCCTTCTTTCGAAAATTGATTAATCCATTTAGGATTTATTTTTAGTTGATTCCTTTATCTCTTGCTTTGAGATTGGCACTGGAGAATGCGTCTTGCTTCGAGTTTAGATTTTGGAGGCAATTTTGGTTTTGGGGGCGAATTATACTTTTTTGTTTTTGGAAGTGATAGTCTGATGCAATTGGCTAGACTTTTAATAAGAGGCATTGCAATTTTGAATAGGAAAAAAGGGGAAACAACATAGTTAGCAATGACATCTATAATATGGCTACATTCTTGAAATTGCTTGGGTAGATGATCTACCATAAAATAGTAGCAAGAATTGAAGCACATCTCAATGTAATAGAACCAAGCCTGTCTCCAATAAGGGTTTATGTAGAGAACTGCAGCAATAGTTACCAACCCCATTATGTATGACACAATAAAACTCACACAGAATACCTCTATATCAATAGGACCATCTTCTTCTCTACCTTGGATTGGACCTTTCGGCATCAATAAGAAAATGGTTTTTTATAAACCAAAGATAGACAACTATACCGTTAGCATGGTTAGATGCTTGGAAATTGTTGCCTAGATAGAGAGATTTGAGAGATGGAAGCTCACTGAAAGATGTGAAGATATCTTTGTTCAACTGATTGGAACTTAGATAAAGAATTTCTGAATTCCTCGACTTAGAAAACTTCTCAAAACCTGCAATATGTACAATTACTAATTCAGTTGTAGAGTCTTATATATATATTAAAATGAAACAATAAGAAAATGGGTTTCTATAAACCAAAGATGGACAGCTATACCATCAGCATGGCTAGATGCTTGGAAATTGTTGTTACCTAGATATAGAGACTTGAGAGATGGAAGCTCACTCAAGGATATTAAGATACTATTATTCAATTGATTGCCTTGTAAATCAAGAATTTCTAGACTCCTCAACTTAAAAAACTTCTCAAAATTTGCAATACGTACAATTATTAATTTAGTTTTGGAAATAGGTTTCTATAAGTCAAAAAATGATAACTATACTGTCAACATGGTTAGATGCTTGGAATTTGTTGTCACCTAGATATAGAGACTTGAGAAATGGAAGTTCACTCAGATGTTTAAGATACTATTGTTCAACTTATTATAAGTTGGATTAAGGATTTCTTGATTTGTCAACTTTGAAGCTTCTCAAAACTTGTCATACATACAATTACTAATTCAATTTTGGAGCCATATATATATATATATATATGAATAAACTGGGGTTAGCCTTTATTGTCAATTTTTAGGCAGAACCCAATTAATAGAATGACAACATTTTAGTCTAAGACCCCTTCCCACTTTACTTCCTTAGCCTTCCTCTTCCTGATTTCATCATTCAATCCCTTCACTCTACAATTTCTATCTCCACCAAACATGAAGAGTGCCAAAATTTTGGGGTTTTGAGGATCACAAAAATTAAAAATAGAATTGATTCACCAAAATCACTAAGCTTTCGTCCAAAAAAAAAAAATTGAAAGAAAAACTATATCAGAGCATACAAAAATTCCTTTCTTCAACTGTTTATTGTCCCTTTCTCCTCTACACGCTCTTCTTCCTCCCCCTTGTTGCATCTACTACTCTGAACGAGGACTTTGATCAAAAGAAAG